GGAATAGCTGCATCTCTTTGAAGATGTCAATTAGAACAGTGCCTTTCCTCCCTTAGCAATCTAAATTCTATCAAGTACATTTTCCCTTCTTCATAGGCCAAGAAATAGAATATGCTAAAGAAGCAGACATATAAATGGATGGGCATTTGCAGGCTTAGCTCAGGACCATTTATTCTTTTGTAATTGGAGAATCAGTCCATAGAATGAAGCCTGACTATATATGATGGGATACTGATACTAAAATATTCCTTGCGTTTTTTTTTGTTTTGTTTTGTTTTTTGTTTTTTTTTAGGATGCCTAAGAATAAAAATAAAAAGGTATAAGACCTGGCAGGGTAGTGAGGGAAAGATGAAACTGATGTAATAAGAAGCTTATGATCTCATATGTAAATGCACATTCTGTAAGACAATTGACAGAATCCTACAATCTTGGAGTTAGAAGGGAGTTTAAAACACATCTTAGTCCCAGCTTTCTGTTGTCCAATAAAAAATACCACCCAGCTCTACTTGATCTCTTTCAGTAACAGCCACATCAGAACTCACAAGACAGCACATTTCATTATGGTTTATTTTTTCTTTCTCTTCGGGAACTGGTTAAAACTTTAAACCATCAGATAATTCGAAACATATTGTCATGGAATCACAAAAAGATTCTTCAAGATAACCTAATCATATTCCCTGATAATCCCAATGAGAAAACTGAGGCGCAGAGAAGGGCTAGAATTTTCCCAAAGTAACATAGTTGGTCAGTGGCAAAGTCAGGACTAGAGTACAAGTCTCCACAATCACAGCCCAGAGGCTTGTCTATTTCTCATAATTAAAGAGAGGGGTAGGCCCAAGTTCAGGACTGATTGGTTACTCAGTGAGTATATTACTAAGGCTCTAGCTTCTCTCTCTCCTTTGTCTGTACATCCAAAGCCTAGTCTTGGCTTATTTCACCCTCAACAGGAACAATTCCAAAGGGTGAGCTGGGTCAGGAGAGGTGGCCCATGGAAGGAAATGGCTTATCCACTCCCTTTGGCTTATCCACATGGTGACTAACTACATCCTAAAAGTGAAAACATCTTACTCTTTGATTCCACCATATATGTTACTTGACAATTCCTTTATTTTTGAGAATACTGTGATGTATTTGGGGGTACTTGAGAGATATTATAATTGTAGTCACCCTGAGATAGGAAGAATGGCTATCTTACAGGCAAAAAGAAAACAAAAAAATAAACACTTGGCAAGAACCTTTTATTCTAGTCACTGCATTAGGACTTTGTGACAAGAGGAAAAACCAGAGATGAATAAAGGATCTTCTTTACCTTTAGGAAATCACAGTCTTGTCAGAAAACATGTACAGTCAATTCTAATCCAAGACAAACTTTAGCCATCCTTATATCTCACATGAGCACATAATAATATTCCTTCCATTTTACAGACATGGTAAAACTGACTTACACCCCTTTTGTTAAGAACATAATTGGAGAACTGATGAATGGGGCCAGTTTCCAGAATGAAAGCGGAGAAAAATTGCTTCCCTCTTAATATGAAGCTTCAGCTCTGAAGAATGACTACAAACTACATCTCCCTCTCTGCAAGAGCCATTCAGGTGGAGCAGCGGAAGAACACATCTAAAGTAGGCAAAGTAATGTTTTTTGGCTTGGTTTGTGTTCCCAAATAGAGAGTTATTGCTTGACTCCTCTGGGAATACAGACTTTTGTCCCTGTTAAATAGCTTCTCTAAATGAGTTCCTTCAAAGAAGAAAAATTTAGTTTAAGATAATTAGAGGATCCCTTCTCTACTGCAAAAGTTAGCCCAATTGCCCAGCTTGTACCTTAAACTCAAAGAGACATAAAAAATGAAATAAATAAATAAACAAACACTGATCTGGGAGTAAGAAAAATATGGTTTCCAGTTTTGGCTCAGGCACTGACTAAACAATCTCTAGCAAGTTTTATTTTTCTCCAGGCCTGTTTGGCCACTGGTAAAATTAAGACAAAAACACTCGCACCTTCCTGAGCTGGGTGAAGAGTCAGTTGGATGATGGATTTGAAATAAACTGGCACATAGTAGGAACTTAAGAAATAGTATATTACGCACACACACACAAAAAAAGAAATACTATATTACAAAGCAACTTGTCATACTCACCCATCCTGTTCCTTTTGCAATGTTTCCCATCATTTTGAAATCATGACCATTGCCCCAATTTATATAGCTCAAAACTTCAGAGTCTTACTTGATTTGACAACAAGCCATATATGAGAAATGGTGGGAGAGCTGGGCTATTTGACCTGGGAATAGAGGATGCAGGAAGATCTGGTCTCTGGTCTTCAGATCTCTAAAGAACTGTCATGAGTGGTCCCAGCGAGAATGATAAGGGTATCTGAGTAAAAGCCACAGGAAGACTGTGTTCCACTTAACAGAAGGAAGAATTTGTGAAGAGTCAAGGCTTTCCATGAAGGGAATGGATTACTTTAGAGATCATTAAGTACACTCCCTCTGGAAGTGTCCAAAGCAGAAACTATCAAGGATGTTTTAAAATGAAGTCAACTAGGGTGAAAAAATATTATGATTATTGCAAGCCTATGTGTAAGATATTGTGCCAGATACTTTACAGAGATTATCTCTTTTAATCCTCTCACCAAAACTATAACATGGGTATTACTATCCATGTATTTCAGCATAGGAAACTGAGGATCAGAGAAGTTCAGTATTTTTCACTGGGCTTACTACTGGTGTTATAAGTGGGAAGAAGGAACAGTTCTTTTGTGCATCAACCTGGTTGGCACTAAATACAGTAGTACTTCAGTATTTGTACAAAATAATCACACTCCCCACACATATTTCTAAATGCACAACGGAAATGCAAAGCTGGTTGGGAATGACAGATAAATAATATGTTTAGGATCGTAAAGAGCAGGTAAGCAGCAGACCCAGGACATAGCTGTGTGTAATTCAGAAAGTGTGTACCCTTTCTATTGCACTATCCACAGAAGTGGATGAAAGTGAGATTGCAATGCACAATCTTTCAAAGTCTAAGCCAATTCCAAAAGATTTTGATTCTCTCATTCCTTCTTTTTCAATCTCATATAATTTATCATCTTCTAAATTTGCTAGATTCAAGTTTTGTAATGTCCTGCTAAATTCATTGCCTTTCTATTCTCACTGCCACCACTTCAGTTCCAGATACTGATCCCCTTTCTGCATCTGGTTTATTCACCTCTCATGTTTCCCTGTTTCAATCCAGTTGACTCACATTTACCAGACTATTCTTCCTGAAACACAGATTTGACATTTTTCTTTAACTCAGATACTTATAATGCCTTTCCACTCTGTGCTGCATCAAACAGAAAGTATATCATCGAAAATCTTCCACAGTTTGCCCCAATCTAGCCATGGCAACTTTAACTTCCATCTTTTCTCTAATTGTATTTTAAAATCCAGTTCAGACAGTGTTCTTTTCACATGCCCCGAGCTTCCCTGCCTCCAAACAGTTGTTCCTGTTGTTTTCTCTGTTTAGACTATTTTCTGTCCTATCTCCACCTGTTGAAATCCTATCTGTGCTTCATGCTCCATCTTAAATAATAATAATAGTTAACATTTATTGAGTGCTTATTTTGGTCCAGCCACTGTGCTAAGTGTGTAAAAGTATTTTACATGGATTACCTAATTTAATCCTCACAAAAAACGTGATGAAGTAAGCTCTATTATTATCTCCATTTTAGCCTACAGTAAACCAGAGTTCAGAGAAGGGGAAGTAATTCTACTTATCCGATGTCACACAAGTTTATAAATGGTGGAAATGGGATTTGAGCTCAAATAGTCGTGCCCTGGAGCCCCGAAAGGTGTTACAATTCAAAAAAAAAAAAATTTAAAAAACCCTTTCTGATTTTCTCTGGCTCAACTTGATATTACCCTAACTTGACAACCTCAAAACATTTTGACTGTACCTTTAAAGCCTATCTTGTGTTATATATTATTTTCTTATATCCATGTTGAAACTGTCAGGTGTCAGTGAGCACAGCCTATGTATCAAGCATTTCCCTGTCTCACACAGTGGTGACACAGAGTAGTGCTCAGTGCGTCTGTTGAGCTGAATTAAAGGTATGTTGGGGTGAAGGAGGAAACAAGAGAGTTATGTAGGAGAAGATACCCTCACTTTCCTGCTTTAGCTACCCTGCTTGACATGCCAACACCTGTCCAAATCAGACCCTGATGTCTTTGCTTTCTCAGACTGGTTTCTGGCGGGTCTCTTCTTGTCCCCTAGTTCTCACAGCTGCCTCAGCCTTGGCCAGTGTTTGGGGTAAGGCAGGATCAAAATATCACTGCCCTGGGTTTAGATTCCAGGAGTGAGGGATCAAGTGAAACCCAGCCGGTTGCATGAGGGGGCAGACTGAAAACCCCCAAATAGAGCCTGTGTAACTCTTTACACAAGCCCTGACTTGCTCAAGGGCCACATGGGGTGGGCTGGCAGCTCAATTTCCCTCTGGATGCTTCACATGTCTGATCCAACCCCTCCCTTCCTCCCTCCCTCCCCTAAGCTCTCAGCCTCCTTCTCTTCCTTATCTCCCAACTTCAAATGCTCAGGGTGATTGGGCACATCCAGGCATGTTCCCAGAGGCCATAGGAATCCAGTAAAAGCCTGCACAGGAAGGAACTTGCTGCCAAGGCCATCAGAGCACTATCCCAGGTCCTTGTCACCTGAAACACCACTCTCTGGATACAGATGGATGGACTGACAGATGGCCACGGGATGCTTTCCCAGCCATTCTGATTTTGTGGTGCTCAAACAGGGTAATCCTAACCTAATCCTGAATTTCCACCCCTATTTCCCACAGGTCTGAGCTGCTTTGTCATGCCAGGGGGTGTTCCCATATTTACCTTGTAAATGGATGGATTAATGAATTTTGCTCTAGCAACAGAATTCCTGGGCAAATTGTACCTTTTTTGCAGGCCAGACATCCCACCAAGACCCCAACCCTCAGCCCCCAGCCTGCATACCACACTCACAGTAGATGAAATCCGTTGCAATCAAAGCTCTTCTCTGACTCAGTTCAAGTCCACGTGTAACAACAACAGCCCAAACTCATTCTCTTTTCCTTTCATGTAACACCCACTTCTCCACCTCTGTGAGGCTCCTGAGGCAGCTATTGGACTACCCGAGTGTGTAGGCGTGGCTATGCAAAGAAGTACCGCCCCTGAGAGGGAAACTGTGGGGAGGGCGAAACTGCGGGAGGGGGGCGGCTGTAAACAGTGGCCAAGCCACTCCTATGGCAGGAACTGAAAAGCTCCAAGACTGAAGCAGAGGTGAGAAGGAAGATGGGCGTAAAGTCAGGTCCTGCCTAGTCTGTGAGAACAGAGGGAAGGTCAAGTGCTTGGAGGCACCTTGCAGATTACATTTCTTCTTACTATTGCACAGTAGGATGCAGTTCAGCTCCTCAAATTTCTGTACATGAGTGTTTGCAGGCCTGGAGTTTGACAGGGAAAATTAGTGTTGGAAAAATAACAGTTTTCAGACCAGTGGAAAATCCACTTTCCAGCTCTGGTTATTAAAAACGAACAAACAACAAACAAACAAACAAACACTCTTTCTTTTAGAAGGGTAGGTAGGATTTGAACAGGAGGAGAGAAGACATAAAGCAGGGGAAAGACCACTAAAAATCAAGGAGAACTGGATTGGAATCACCTTTCTTGTGCCCCATAGTCCCTGTGCAAAGGAATTTGACTAGATAGCCTCTAAGTATTCTTCCATCAGTGACACTATGTGAGTTGAGGAGTCTATGATCTCAGAGGCAGCAGTGACGAAGTTAGAATATTACTAGGCCCTGATCTTGAAGAACTTTCAGAGGAGTTAGGGACCTAAGACAGACTGTATAGTCCAAGAACATCACACACTATAGAATGAAGGGCCACACTATGAGGTTCAGGTTAGAAGAGCAGAGAGGACACAGGGGGAGAGAGAGAGAGAGAGAGAGAGAGAGAGAGAGAGAGAGAGAGAGAGAGAGAGAGAGAGAATCCAGGCAAGGCAAATGCTGTTCAATAAATGGGGGTAGAGTAAAAAACGTGGAGAAGCAAATAGCATTATGGGTAGAAAGGAAGAAAAGTTTCATCCAAGGCATGGGGGAGGGGACCAAGAAATATGTCATGATCAGACTCCCCACCTGGCATGGGCAAAGGCTATATGCTAGGAGTGTAGGGTGCAGTCTCTATACAGCGGCAGCAATGACTTTGGTAGGAAAACAGGCTGAAAGGCCCTGAGGTGACTTTGAGTAGGTCATAAGTGAACTAGACATAAGTCCTCTGGTTAGATGTGGGGCCAGATTGTGGCCTCTTACACTGCTACTGTGAGTTGAGGCTTAGAAGGAGGGAAAACTGCCTGAGCTGGAATCCCGAATCTCTGCTGCTAGCTGTGTGATCTTGGGCAATTTACTTAACTGCTCTGTGATTCAGTAACCTCATCTGGAAAATGGGAACAATAATAATCCTTTTCTTATAAGGTTGTTCTGAGGACTACATGAGTTAGTATATAAAACAGTGTTAATATGTATAAGGAGCTTAAAACAGTGTCTGACATATATTAACATAAGTGTTTATTGAGTTTAAATGAATTCTAAGTACACAGGAGTCAGAAAGCCTTATTTCAAATCCTGGTTGTGCCACTCCACTAAACCCCTTGTGGAACCTTAGGCAATTTTTTTTAACTTCTTTGTACTTCAACTTCCTCGTGTCTAAAATGGAGATTACAGTAGTACCTATTTCAAAGAGTTGTTTTGAGGATTAAATGAATCAATGGATCTAACAGTGCCTGGTATATAGCAAATGTTATATAAGTATCTGCTATCATTATTCTCTTGGGTACATAGTAATCACATAATAAATAAAATAAATGTTTAGGGAGACAGCTAGAAGGAATATAGACTCTAGAATCCAGAGACCTCTATTTCCATTTTGGCTGTAACATCTACTAGCTGTTGGCTCTTCAGCATAAGAGTTACCGTTTCTGAGACTCAGTTGTCCAATGTGCAGAAGCTAATAATATTTTCTCCATGATGTTGTGAATGTGAAATGAGCTCATGTTCATAAAGCAAGTAGAATGCAGTAGGTGTCCAAAGGATACTCTGTGTCCTAGAGTTCTGGAAGATGGATGTGGCTGCAGAGTAGGCTATGGATTATTGGAGTAAAGGCTGTTGCTAGATACTGCTTAGTAGATTACCACTATGATCAAGGCAAGAGGTAATAAAGGGCTGATTCTGATGATGAAAAGGGGGAATGGAAACAAGAAAGATTGTGCATTTAAAAGTGTGAAGTTATGGTATATGATGTCAAGGAAGGGTTTGAGTCTTCGTGGCAGAGTCACTTTCTCATATAAGCCTCACTGACCCAGTCCTCTCACTTTCCCTTGTACTCTATTTCCTTACTGGCATTCAATTACAATCTGTAATCATTTAATTAATTAATTTTCTTACTTGTTTAATGTTTGTTCTTTCTCTTCCACTAACTGGCAAACATGATGAGCTAGTGCTTAATAGTTAACCCTTATAAAGCACTAGCTGTCAGCCAGACACTCTTCCCAATATTTTCCATATATTAACTTATTTAATCCTTGTAACTATCCTAGTACTAATCACAATTTAGGGATGAGAAAACTGAGGCCCAGACTGATTTGCTCAATGTTAAACAGTTAGGAAGAGGCATGGCTGGGAAAGTGTCTCTGGTATACAGCTGAGGAATAAACATTAATGAGTATGCCAGGGTGCAAAAAACAAAATGGGGACTATCAGGAAGACTTTGAATATGTTGAACTTGAGCTGCCAAGAAAGCCCCTATGCTGAAATGTTTTATAAGGGAAGAAATGTAAGGTGGGAGCAAGAAGGATCCTTTAGTCTGGGGACACCCTTCCACCTAGAATAACCACACCACCTTTTATTTATTTATTTTTTAAATTTAATTAATTAATTTATTTTTGTTACAAATGTTTCTCCTTTTCCCCCCACTGATTCGCCCTTCTCCCTCCCTGCCCTGTCCCCAGCTTTGTTGTCCATGTCCATTGTTCATGCACACATGCATATAAGTTCTGTGGTTTATCTCTCCCCCACCATTCCCTCTTCTGGGGATTGTCAGTCTGTGCCCCACTTCCACGTCTCTGGGACTACCCCATTCCTCAGACTGTTATGTTCATTATATTCCACAAATAAGTGAGATCTGAACACATGGGACTACATCAAACTCAAAAGCTTCTGCACAGCAAAAGATACAATCATCAAAATGGAAAGGCAACCCACTGTATGGGAGAGCATAACTGCCAATGATATGTCAGATAAGGGGTTAATTTCCAATATATATAGAGTGCTCATACAACTCAACAAAAGGAAGACAAAGAACCCAATTAAAAAATGGGCAGAGGAATCTAAATAAACACTTCTCCAAACAGGACATACGAATGGCTAAGAGATATATGAAGAAATGCTCAACATCCTTTTATTTTTTAAACACAATTTCTTCCCCGCTGAGATGGGAACATCCTTAAAGGTCAGGATTAAGTGCCTTTCAATAACCCCAGCCTCAAGGGCTCATCCAACCTTTGTGCTCTCAGATATACCGTCTTACCTCTTTTGATCCTACTCAGCAAACTGAGTGCAAGAACACAGAGCCATGCTATGCCACTGGCAATACTTCTCTAAATAAGCTAATGCATTGGCTAGGGGACAGCACCATCAGAATTCTTCTTTTAAGAGAAAGTAGGAAGGACAATATTTACTGAGCATTTATAAATCATTCAAATGTTCCCCTTCATAGCTTTCAACAGTCCTATGAGATAGGAATTACTATCTGCATCTTACAGATGAAAGAGCTCCGTGAACTCCATGATGCTTTCTGGAGGACAGGAAGAGTCCTGAGGTAAAGGTACCAGGGAAGCTTCAGGGTCCAAAAGCTATAGCTTTATTTAGAAAATGACCTCAAGCAGCAACTATGAAATATCTACCCTCTACCATAACTTGTCTAATAACACTATACTAGTGGTTAACATTCACCAAGCACTTGGTAGGCACTGTTCCAAGTGTTTTACATGGATTAATTTATCTCATTTTTACAGAAATTTTATGAAGCCAAAACATTGGAATCATCCTTTCCTCTTCTTTTTCTCACATCTTGCAAATAATCCATCAGCAAAACTAATCAGCTCTGCCTTCAAAACGTACTATGAATCCCAGAACTTATCAGCACCTTCACTGAAACCACTCCATTGCAAACCACCACCACTTTTCACCTAGATTATTGTCATAACTTCCCATGGGTCTCCTTGTTCTTGTCCTTACACCATTTTAGTCAATTGTCAATTGTCAGCACAGTGGCCAAAGTGATTCTTTGAAAATGTAAACCATTTCAAAGTCTGTCTAAACCATTCCAATGGCTGGCTTCTTATTCAGATTAAAAGCCAAAATCTTTAACAACAGTCTATATTAATCTATACTCTGGTCTACTTCATTGCACCCCTACCATTCTACCCCTATATCTCTAATCTCATCTCCTGCTACTGCTCCTTGATCCCCACACTCAATCAAACTGGCATCCTTGATGTTTCTTTGAACAGTCAAAACATGTTCTAAACTCAGTTTTTACACTTGTTGTCCCTTCAACCTGGGCAACTCTTTCCCGAGATACCTATGTGTCTCCTTCCTTCACTTCCTTCATGTCTGTGCTCAAATTTCACCTCTTCAGAGAGGACTTTCCTAAACATTCTATCTAATAATAAATGGGATTCCCAGGGCCTCTTGGACTTTTCCTCAGAACTGATCCCAAGGACCTGAGGTACAACGTGGAAGTCAGCAGAGTTAAAGCTCTCAGCACTACCCTTTATGGGAGAGCCACTCTGGCCTCATGTGCCAGGGTAGTAGAAGTGAGGTCATATTAGCTTACTAAATGGGAGCTCTTCCCATCTCCTCCTTATATAGGCAAGGGTCACTTTGTGAACTCAAACCAACTACTCCCAAGTAAATTATTTCTCTGATTATACTTCACTGCTGGAATCAGCCTGACCTGACAGCTTGATAAACAGGGGCCAGCCTCCCTGTATCT